TCACTTAATAGGCAATCATCTTAATGTCCATCGCAACGCGAAAATTACTATCGCAATGCGAAATGAAAATCGCAACGAGAGAATCGCAATGCGAAATGAAAATCGCAACGCTAATTTCGCAATGCGAAATGAAAATCGCAACGAGGGAATCGCAATGCGAAATGAAAATCGCAACGCGAATTTAATTTCGCGTTGCGATTTTCATTTTCGCGTTGCGATTCTCTCGTTGCGATTTTCATTTCGCATTGCGATAGTACTTTTTGCCTTCAACATAATGCAGATTGAAATCAACAAAATCAACCATTACATTTCAATCAATTAAACAAGCACAAATAAGAATTATGTTAACATCAATTAAACAAATCAACTTTTACAAATCACCTTTTACAAATCAATTGAACAATCAAAAAATAAGCAATAATTATTAGAGAAAATAACACTTCTACTATTGAATCAACTTTTGCAGCCATACATCATTTTCACGCAGCTCACTTCTGAGATTAACCTGCATAAACCAAACATTTGCGCAAACAACACTTTCTACACATCTAAAACCTACAAACAGCAAATTATTGAATTCTAGGTACTTAACCAAACATTTTCAAACCACAAGCCTATAAACATACCAATTGTTTATGGACATTTTTATAACGCGGATGCAGGTAGGCAGCGTCTCGTATATATCGATCTAGCCATATAATGTCGAAACCACAAGCCTACTGCAGCTCTATCTATATCGGTGGGAGGTAGATACTTTATACTTCCTGTGATCAAACGGTCCAACGCCAAGCATACGAGAGGACCACAATCCCCTCTGGGTCCTTTCTTTTGTTGTGGTGCGGTCTCGTCTCTGCTAACTGTAATATTGAGCTTCTTTGGCTTCTTGTTTCCAGAACGAGTCCAATAATTTATCGCATCCAAGTATTTAGCCAAATAAGAGCTCCATCCCTTAATAATATCTCTTAAATCAGCCAATGATATGCAATTTATCATGATGTCATATACTATTGCCTTAAGGGATGGGATCTGAAGCTCGACGAGAAGCCAATGGTTACGTTCCAAAACAGGGATAAACACCTGCAATCATAAGTAATAATTCATTCATTTGCGCACTTATTTATGAATACCTTTAAACTCAATCTAAAATAAACACTAACCTTATCGACCTCCCACCATGCAGGATAAAGTTTAGCTTGTCCATTGCCCAACGCAAATGATTCATCTCGTTGATTCTTCAAGTGAACTGCGTTAAAAGCCGTCGGCATTATTGTATACCGTGTATTTCTTTTATTTTCCTTAAGTTTCCTAATTATTAGTAGACGTGACACCCACGCATCGATATGTTGTTTTACAAAAAAATACATATATTAGTGAATTACATTAATTTTTAAACAAATTAATCAAATGAAAATATAAGAAAAATATAAGACTTACCCCTCCATCGAAATAGCCATTGTCTTCGACCCCTAATAATACGCCCCACCAAGACCGATCAAGCAACAAATAGATATCATCATTGAGCTTGCATATGTCAGTGAAACACCCCTGGCTTCGCTCATGTAGATAAAAATCAACTACGGTCTTAGCCCAAAGGGTGTTATCCAGAATTGTGTCCGGTAGTTGTTTCCTCTCCTCTTCAGATACCGGTATGGTACTAGCCGGTAACTCATACGAGAGCCAACTTGAATCCATCATTTCCGGCACGTCAGAGGGTTTCTCAAGAATCCTACATATGACGCCATGTGAATCGGGCTCTTGAATGGTGGGAGGGACCTCTTCAACGATGACAGTGGCCTCTTGAACGGTGGGAGGGGACTCTCGAGGAATGATAGGGGCCTCTTCAACGATAGGAGTGGACTCTTGAGGGATGATAGGCGAGTTGGGCTTCTTCTTGCGGTGTCTTCGCACTATTGGGGTATACGGAGACTTAATAGCACGTGCACGCCGTCTGATGCGTGAACTCTGTCGTGCAAGAAAAACCTGACGTAAAGCATCCACCTTATCGGTCCGCTAAATAAAAATACAAATATCAGTAAATAAACAGACATGATATTTAAACAGTGAAAACAAAGATAAATATTTCAAACTTTCAACCAAAAGACAAAACAAAGACAAATACTAACTTCACAGTGTTAAAGTAAAAAGTTTAGCAGTTTTGGCAGCAACCGAATAAATTTACTAAGCAATCTAAGTGAAATGGTTAATTTAAGTGAAATTACGAGTAAATTTATCATCAAGTTAAATATGGAAAATCTTAAACTTACCTCGTTGCGTAGAGTATGAACCTCATTCTGCAACGATACTACCATCTCACGTAGAGCGGCAACCTCACCACGTAAAGTAGACACCTCCACACGCCATGCACCATCGTTATCGCGTAGAGTACCGATCTCTTCACGCAAGGCATTGACCTCATCACGTAACTCCCTTGACTCATCCCGTGGAGGTGGAGAACAGGGAGATAGAAGTCGTGGCATCTTTGTCGGTCGCCTATCATGAGGTGATGGTGGAGAAGAGACTCGATGATGTGACGGGATAGGTGATGGCTCTTGTTGTAGAGGTGTATAGTCGGGTCGATCAGGTGATGGCTCTGGGTGAGGTGATGGCTCTCAAAGTGGAGGAAGTGGAGGCTGCTCATCATTCGTGCCATCAAAAAAACGCTGACTAGCTTGCCACCAATCAGTGGCAAGCTCAGCCTCCGTGGGTGTCAGTCTCATTAATGGAGTGTTGGCCTCCTAAAAATATAAAAACTAAAACAAAGTTAAACGTCTACTATTAATAACTTGTTTATATATGATAGTATTTGTGTTAACTTACATTATTTATTGTCGAATATGGTATTAAGTCTTCCCAATCCAACATACGTTTCCTCTTCCAGGAAATAGCCCTAGGAATATCATCTGAGGATTTTAATGCATATGTCCGCATGCAGGGGAAAGCCTCGAATATCCAAATCTACAAACAATATAATAACAAACATTAGTAATTGTTAAATAATTAATTATAATTTTGAAAACATTATATAGAAATTCTTACCTTAAAGGCCCAAACAAAGCCTGACAAAGTGTATTTCGACCCATCGCCCCGCAAACTTTTGCGGTCATCAAAGGCAGACGACAACTTAGTCCAGGTAGCTTTCCATATATACGAACCCCACGGAAACAGATTCCATGCATTTAGGTCCTCTACCAATAATATTAGCTCCTGAGGAATAGGTTGTCTGGCCTCTCTGCCTAGAAAGCCGGCATACAAAAGTAGTAGAAGGCATACTCGGACAACATCGACGTCATTCATCCGAGTAAAACCATCTTTCTTATTAAACAATTTCTTCATGTCGTCGACGTGTAAGTTCGGCTTCTCTATTGACTCATCAGGAAAAACCCTGGATAACCATGATGGGCGGGTGATATGACGAGTGTACCGGCCTACATCATCGTGTCCGAATCGTAGACCAGTGATTAAGCAGAACTCCTTCCGCCCAAAACAAGTATACGCCGGTGGAAAATGAAACCATATCTCTTCCTCACCATGTTGTATACTGTCGGGTAGATCGCTAGTCATGGTCTGAAGCCACAAATGGGTCAAACTAGCATCTCCACCCGGATGCTGTACTCTCAGCCATGGCCCGAAGCAGGTTTCTTCAAACAATTTTCTTTGTGCAGGTGAAAGCTTTGAAGCAATTGTAGTGGCTAGGCTAACTTTATTCCTTAATGTCAATGAAGCCGAAAAAAATTTCTACAAAAAAACAATAAACATACCAAGTTAGATATACCAAAAATTACACTGTCAAGATATACCAAAAACAAAACAATAAACATAAATAGTAGTTTATTCTTGAAACTAAAATTTGCAACACTGTTTTTGTCTTTTGGTTGAAATGAAAATCGCAACGAGATAATGAGAATCGTAACGCGGAAATGACTATCGCAACGAGAGAATCGCAACGCGAAATGACTATCGCGACCAGACAATCGCAACGCGAAATGAAAATCGCAACCGCGAAATAAAAATCGCAACGCGAAATGAAAATCGCAACGCGACGCGTTGCGATTTTTTTTTCGCGTTGCGATAGTTATTTCCGCATTGCGATTTTCATTCTCGAAACTATTCTTCTTCTGCATTACTTCAACCAAAAGACAAAGCAAAGACAAATACTAACTTCACAGGCTAAACAGTTTAGCAGTATTGGCAGCAATCGAATGAATTTAATAAGAAATCTAAGTGAAATGGTTAATCTATTATTGAAATTACCAGTAAACTTATCATCAATCTCAATATGAAAAACCTAAAATAATGCAAAAATTTCAAAATAAAAATAAAAAAAACTAACCCTCGGAGGTTGATTTTCCATTTCTGAATGATTGTGAGGGATTTTTGACTGTGAATGGTTGTGAGGGATTTCGCCGGCGATGGGGACGGAAATCTTCGGAGATGGGGACGGATTTCGCCGTAGAGAGTGAGAGATGGAGATGGGACTGAGTGTTGTGTTTTTGGGTTTGAGGTTATGAGTTGCGATTACTGTGGACGGTTCATTTTCCGATTTATTAAGAAAAAATACGTGTTTGGAATTTGAAAAAAAAATACGCGTTAATACGAATGGCGCTATGTAAATCGCGTTGCGAAAGTCAGTATCGCGTTGCGAAAGTAAGTATCTCGTTGCGATTTTTTATTATCGCATTGCGATAGTCAGTATCGCATTGCGATTTTCCCAATTCGCGTTGCGATTTACTTATTCGCATTGCGATTTTCCCAATTCGCGTTGCGATTTACTTATTCGCATTGCGAATTGGGAAAATCGCAACGATACTGTAGACCATCGCAACGCGATTTTCAATTATCGCATTGCGAAAATGCAACGCGAATTTGCGATAATGGAGATCGCGTTGTGAATTAGCGATCGCGTTGCGAATTAGCGATCGCATTGCGATTTTGTTGGTCATTTTGGCAAATCCGAAAAAAAATAGTTAAAATCTTATATTATATGGGATTTTTGGTCACTGAGGTTATTTTCTCTTACAGTTATTTCCCTAACATTTCCCAGCTGTGAGTGCATGTATTTGTTAGTCAACATCTGCTTCAAGTTGATCCTCTTTTCTTTTCAACAAAAGATTTAAATCTAAACTGCTCCCGTATTTACAAACTACTAATCTTTGCTGCTAAATCAGTGCACAAATTGGGAAATTTTTGTTCATTTTGTTGATCCATTGAGTTTAGTCTTTCGACCAATATGTCTAAAGCTTCCTTCATCCACCAATGCTGACAAACATCCCTTGCTTCTTTAACATTCATCTAAACAAAATCAAAAGGGGGAAAAGAATCAATTTTTGAAAGTTGAAACCAATCAATTGAACCTTGGAAGCCATTTTTGATAATACAAAAGCTTACCCAAGTCCTTTGTCTCAGATTTTGCTCAGGCCACAAGTCAAGTTCTTCTTTCACCAGCAAAGGGAACATATACCCTTCATAAAATGTGCCATGCCTTTTGCTTATGAAATCCCATTTCCCCAATTCACACTGTTTCAAAGATGAAGACTTTTTTAGTATAAAGAATTTCAGAAGAAGATTTAAGAGTTTGATTAAATAAATATTAACCTCAACAATGCCTAGAACACCAGCTTCTTCAAGTGATTCTCTTAGTGCAGCTTCTTCTCTAGATTCATCAAGCTCCCAACCACCCTGATGATCAAAACCCAAAGATTTATACTGAGGAAACATCGTTTTTAAGGAAAGTTGTTGATTTTTTTTTTTGAAGATTTTCATGTTTGTGTACCTTGGGGAACATCATTTTTTGACATTTCTGGGAAGATATTACAAGAACCTCGAGATCATTACCAGTGGTTCCATCACTGGTGGATTTGTATCTATAGGGAATGCACCTGCGATCGTCAAATTTGAAGAAATCAACGAGGTTTCGTTTATGGTAAAAATGAACTGGAAACAGTCCCAGCATGAAAAATCTGACCCATTTCAGAAAAGAAAAAATACTCACCCGACAACTTGGCGGCGGCCCAAGTTATCATATCGCTGCAAGTGCCTTCCGGAACGAGAAACCAAGCAAACCATCCTCAGAAAAATTGAAAAACAAACGACTAAACAAGAACTAAGAATCAGATTGAACAATCTATTGATGCAACCAAATTCAGCAGCTCCAAACGAAATTCGAAAAGATTTTTTTTTTTGTAATTAATGGAAACAATCCCAGAAAGGAGATTCGTTTTTGGGAGTAATAAGAAACAGGTTTATCGTAGAATGGATCGAGCCAAATATTTCAGGTAAAAAAGGGCAACAAAAAAGATGAAAATGTATGAACATGGAGTTGGGTATTTATAGAAAAATAAAGGGGGGAAGTGAGTAAACATGTTTATGTAATTAATTTAATTAAACAGAAGTTAGTGAGTAAATAATAATAAATTTAATAATAGATGAAAATGATGTTTTTTTAATAATAAAAAACGGTAGGTATTGAGACGCGTCCCATTCTATGAGCTTCGATGTCGTTTCACTAGCAGAAAAGGTTTTTCCGTACTTTTGAAAATATAATGAATATTATTTGATTTATTTATTTATTGTTTTTTTATTAATTTGAATTGAATATAAACTAGTATATGTTTAAAGATTATTATCATTCATTTGAAAATAATTTTTTTTATCTCTATATATAAAATATTCAAACCTTAAATTTTGAAATATAACAATCAATCTATTAATTATTAAAATCATTTGATCCATACTTATTGCATATTTATTATTCTTATTCTTATTTAATTGACAGATTTGAGAGAGTGGAGTTGTAGCCAACACGTACACGGTTGATCTGAAGTAAAGAGGGATTGACTTGATGAAGGCATCTGAGTCACGTGTGCGATGATTGGCTATCTTCGGCTAATGCCTTTTCTTTAAGCCGGGGCCGGGCTGTTTTTTTTTTTCCAAAAGAAAAAGCAGAAAGCGGCCGTGTGTCTTATGTCGTCCTCATCTGTCTGGCTACAGTTTTAAGGATAGCAAGATAGGGTTGGATATATATTGGATTTTTTTTTGTTTTTGTTTCTATTTTTATTTAAAACTGTATTCACATCTACACTAATTAATAAAATAATGGGTTTATCAAACTATTACTTTAGGGTAGTCAGTATCGGCCGAGGTACATCATCTATTATATTTGTTGGTGAAAGAAATAAGATTGAGATAATTTTAATTTATTTTTTAATTTAAATAGAGAGTTACGCACGATCATTTGATAAAGAAAAAAATGATAAATAAATTGGAAAAGATGATGAACAATTAAAAGAGAATTTGAGAGAGTGTTATATCTCCATTTTTACGGTCTTATATGATGATTTCTATACAAATCCTTAATGTTGATATTACACCTAAGATGATAGTGAATATTTCTAGGTTGGTAGAGTAAATAGATTTGACTGTAAAATTGTAAATTTAGTTGGTAGATTATTTAGGTTTATAAGTAATCATGTCAAGGAATTATAACTTGCCAAAGTTATGGAATTTTGGAAATTTTGAGAAATTACAAAAAATTTGGGAGAGAGAAATAACAACGGAAATATAACTTGCAAATATGATCTCAAGGAAACACAACAATACTTAATTAAATATAATAATTAAAGAATTCGTAAATAATAATTTTTTTTACCAAATACTATATTACATTTGAATAATTGTTTATTATAATTAATAATAGTAGTGTTCAAGTAAAAAGTCTGCATGCATGTCTAATGGGATAATAACATACGAATAAAATTGTGAAATTGGCATTTGGTATGCATGTAAAAACTTTGCTTCTTTTACTACTTGAGTAGTGAATTAAAAGAAATGCTAGTTGTAATACTATTTTTGCTCAAGGTTTTCCACTTTTTTTTGCTTCTCTTTGTAATTTTATTAAGAAAAATCAATTAGTTTTTTATTAATACGGGTAAGTACAATGTAATATATGTTCAAAGACTTTTAACAATTTGACACTAAATGAGCGCTCATACCTTTGATATTCATGGTACTTGAACTCGAGACCTCAAGAAATAATAATAATTATTTAACCACTAAAATCGATTTATTCATATAAAAAAACCAAATAATTAAGCGAAAATACAAAATAAACCTAGCATAAAAATGATACATATGTAATAACATATTAAAATTTTATAAAATAGAAAATAACATATTAAACTTTTGATTTAATTTATGGTATACTTTTTTATTTTTCTTTCTTTCAAAGTATACTTCAATTTATGTCTTAAATTATCATTGTCATCTCAATTTATGCTAAAAAAGAAGCTTTTTAGCATAGCTATAGGCTTAGTCAGCCACCACAATGGAAATAGATGCCATGGGAAGTGTGAGGGTGGTGACAACTTTTGGAGAGGATTCTGCCTGAAGAGTCGCATTTTAAAACGCTGCAAATGCCCATTAACGAACGGGTGAAACGAAATTTCCGAGAAATTATGTTTCAAGACTTGCTGAATATATTCCAATAGTCAGTTGCACACATTATACCCAATTTTAGCATAACGAAGCTACAGATTTTATGATGCCTTCCATCTAACATATAGAATAGTTTAGGATGCTTTCAACAAAAAGGAAAAAGCTTGAGTGGAAGAAAAAGCTAATATCTATTTTGTGGAATAGTTTAACTTTAATTTGATACTACAATTTTTGTTTTATCTTTTTGAAACAAATATGTATAATTATGAAGATTTACGCCTATTTGTGTTACAAAAACGTACCTCATAGAAGAAGAAAAAGTTTTTTTTATAGAATAAACTACTTATTTAATTATACGTTTATTACTTTGTTTTTTTTAGTCATCTAATTATTTTTAACGACAGCTGATCAAAATAAAAATAAAATATAACTGTATGTGTAATTTTAGAAAAATAATTAAATGATTAAAACGAAAACAAAATAATAGATGAACGACTGAATATGTAATTTATCCTTTTTTATAATAATTTATCAAAAGAATTGTGACAATACATGTCAAAAGACAAATTATTGATAAGTTATATTAGTTTGAATATGTTTAGATACAACTGTCTTTAATATAAGTATTTAGAGTCACGAACCAAGCGATTTTGGTGGTAAAAGAATTGTTATTCCTTGACGTTCCGAGTTCGAGCACCATGAATGCGAAGAGTGTGAGCGGTTAATGTCAAATGGTTGAGAGTTATCTTTAAACATATATTATCTTGTACTTATCACATATTAATAAAAAAAATATTTAGTATTTTAAGTTTTATATAAAAAAATATTTTTTCATCAAAATTAAAATTTATAAATTTTAAAACAGATTTTTGATAGAAAATACAAAATAAAATATATGAAATATAATAACAATTTAATTTTTCAAGGGATGACTATCTCTACTCGTCCTCTCAACCTATCTCATGTCGAATATAAGCCATTTGAGGGGGGATTAAGAGAATGTAAATTACTACACTAACTTGTCATTATCCGAACAAGAAGGAACAAAATAGACCCGAAATTTTCAAAGTTTATCAGAGGAAAATTTGTATGCAAATATCCAAGGAACATTGAACCTCAAGTTTCTAACGCCCTCTTGTTAGAGTGTTGATCCGATTCTTTTAAAGTTGCTGTGGGCGCGAGAGTTGGTTAACTTATGAAACATAATACCACTTCGTCAACAAAATATACGATCGGCTGTGCTTCTGGTTAAAATGATTCTTCAATTTTTTTCATAAATAATAAAAAATAATTTAATCATTCATACAATCAAAGCATAAATAATAGGTTAATTTATCGACTTCACTCATATATTAATTAGATTGATGGTTTTTGAAAATTATCAATTTAATATATTATTGAATCTCATTGTTGTATTTTTTTAAATTTTCTTTAAAAGATTAATCTTTATACATCATTTCTGTATTTTAGAGTTTTTAAAGGAATATTTTTGGAGGAAGGATCTCAACCGTCAAACACTCATTGGAAAACTATAATTGTTTGACACGATATTTGACATGTTCATGTAACCTATTAGAGTTGAGTTTATTATCAGCTGACCATATCTACTGAATCTACCATCCTACGAGTAGTCATATTGATCTTACGCCTGACATCAACATTAAGGATAACCATAAAACACTCTTGATCAAGATTGAGAGAAAGATATAAAATCCATTTTCCCACTCATATCTCTTCTACCTCCTCATGGAGACAAAAAACCCAAACACCGACCAATGACCGTTTGATCATCGGTTGCAATTTTTGTCTAAATCAAAATGAGACTATAATCCTCGTAACTCATTTGTTCTCATCGATAATATATATTTAAATCTAATTGAGTACAAACTTGGTAAAATTGCATTGGCCTTTTATAAATTTGACCTTAAAAAGTCCGGATTAAAAACTCTTTTGAAACAACTTCTTTCAAAAGGGTAATTGTTTTTTAATTAGAATAAAAAAAGTGCAACAAATACTAAATATTAAGTAGAAAAAAGAAATATGTGGGCTAGAACTGAAGAAAGAGTTGGTGATCTGATCCATTGTGGTTTGAAATGGTCGGACTTCACATGGAGTGGAAAAATCGTGCATGGCGCCCACTTGTTGAGAATTTATTTCGTCTCTGCCTCTTTGTTTCTTTCCTTTTTTTTCATTTTTTTTTTCAAATTTATACAAAATTTATTATGACTTGGACGACTCTTCCTACTTTAATTACCATTAATGGGGTAGTTGGAGTTTTTTTCTTTGATAGCTACACATTAAACTAGCCTTTTGTTTTTGGTCCTTTTTGTTGGTAATTCAAAATATCCTTTATTGGATAGAAATTATATGACATGGTCTGATTCGATTCGTATATATTTCTTTTTAAACACGACCTTCTTGGTATAATTATTATTAGGTTTTTACCTTTTTGTCTTCAAGTTGAACTTATAGATAGGAGTTGGTTTCACTTCTAATATCTCTCCGTTTTAAACGAAAAATCCTCTTTATTTTTTGTGTTTTTTCGAATGTAAAATTTCAATCAGGAGAAAAATATTTTTAGAGCTATATTCCTATTACCGAGAAAAGTATTATCGACTGATTTCCATTTTAATATTTGAATATACGAATATTAAAGAGATGTGCTAATCTCATGGTTAAGACAAATTTACTTCTAAAACAAT